TCCTGACACTGCCAGATTAGGATATGCCAGTACTTTACTAAACAAAACAGGTTCAGAGATCCTACATTTACTGGGGTAAGGAGTTTCATCTGTATCACAGGTCTGCCCCATCCAGAGGGAAGCTGCATACAAGTTTTCTGTTGTTTTGGAGGTTTGTTAATTTATTTCTTTTTAAGTATTTCTAAGGAGATTTGATATGAAAGTTTCCTTCAAGAGTTCCTCCCAGGCACATGTTAAGCAAGACACTCTGAGTTCACAATTTGTTCAGCATACTGTTCTTAAATTAGGAAATCAATTAAAACTAATAACTCAAGCAAAACATCATTTCTCATCTTGTCTCATGGTTTCCAGCATAGTCAGGACATGTTCCTGAATTCACCTACAACAGACAGAGACTCCAGACAACATCTACTGTGACTTGAATACTCTGTCACAAGAGCCTGACAGTCAAAATGGACTTTTAGAACACTTCCCCAGTTAAATGGGACAATACTCATCTCTTTGTCCAGAGTATTTACAAATTAATTCTTACAAACTTAGCTAAAAACCTGTCTCTTTAAGTTACACTTAGGTTTGGCTTCTGAAAAACAGCAAAAAATACTCTGAAGAACTACATGCTGAAACCAGCAACATCATATTAGAAGGACTCAAGCCCATTGTCTTACCTAACACTGTTTTTCATGTAGGTGGAAGCCTTAACTACAGTAGCTTTACTACAGGGTAATTGAAAACATAAATTTATTGCGCTGAAGTCTTGGATTTCTGATAACACGTGGAATATCAGATGGGCATGGCACATCAGATATTCATGGCATTATACAAATGAAGTCTTCCTAAAGCTTAGAAGTTTCTTCACTAGGGTGTTAAGTATGAAATGTAATAAAACCATTTCTCTCCAAAAGCCATTTACAGAAGAGATTTTGGAGGAATTCCTGAATTTTAGTGACCAGCATAAAAGGGTGAACAAACCTTTCAATACTGCTTATGTGGTAGAAAGAAAGTGCCCAAGAAAACACTGCAGATGGAAACAATTTGGTAACCAGAGTTACATTTTCTAATATGACTCAGATAAAGAACAAAGTCAAAATTACTATTTGTCTCCAGAAAAAGGACAGGAACATTTTTCCATCTTCTTGCAAATTCTAACTCTTGATTTGAGATTAAAACAAAAATATATCACTTACAAAAAGAAAGATGCATGTACACTGCCAGCCTAAAGACATTAATATTTGGCAGCACCTGGATAATCTGCATGAATGAAGTTGAACATTTCAACACATCTGCTCACTGACAGATGCCATATCTTACCAATGAGTTTCTGCTGAATTCTGACTTAAAAAAATGCTTCATACCTTACAGCATTTTTCTTGCACCTTAGAAGGTGAATGTAATATAGGGTGGAACTTGGATCCAAAGTGCTTCCAAAAGTAGCCTTTTACTTCATCACTAGAGCTCACTCTAAGAGGCAGCAGAGTATATACATGTGAATTATGTTCCATACACATTTTAAAAGTACTTCTAAGGTCCTCATGTTTCTGAAGTCAAGATAAATCTTCATTACCCACACTGTTAAAAAATATTTAGAATTGGTCTTCCGCAAGTTTTCAACACTGCAGTTACTCAAAAACACAGACATTGTAAATGACATTATGCTTTTCTCCTGTAACACTTGTAGAAAAAAATACTGCTTAAAACCTCTCTCTCCTCCCAGCACTACTGTAAATAAGAAAGTTGTGTGTTCAGTTGACTCTCACATTTATGATCTGGACAGATTAAATATGGGAGTCTTGCTGCTCCTTCAGCCAAAGCAAAAGCTGCAAATACTTTTCAGTTGCTGTTTCATCAGCAAAATAATCACTTCTTATCATGACAATTTCTTTTGCTGTAGGAGAAAGAGAATACTTCAACAATATAATAATGTTAACTATCAATTCTGAAGGTTTGACTAAAAAGCTGCTTTCTCCATCACCCCTTCCCATGTACTTGGATACCCCACATCCCTGAGGCTCCACTTCTGACTACAGGAAGAGCACTGGGAAACAGAATGGGAGCCCAAGTAAGTGTGAGGTTTCAAAGTTTTCATTAAGCTCACAGTTCTGTGGTTTCATAGAGCCAAGACCATTAAAAGGACAACTCTAGATAGGTCAATGGAAGAATAAAAAGTATTGACAAAATTAGGGTTAGGAAAGAATCTGGGTGTGATGGGCTACCAGACTTCAGTTAGACACAGAAGTGTTTCAGCTGGATGATTTATAAACTCAAGTACCAAACATGACCAAGAATTCAGTTCATATATAATGGTGGAAACAAAGAGAATTAATTCCTATTCATCCTATTCACTGATGAATAGGATATGCCATTTGACTTCATCCTAAATTGCATGAAAATTATCAAAGAAATGCACTTTGAGCACTTCTTTCTAAAGGATTGATACAGAAGAAAAAATGCACTGTAAGGAACCTGAACCCATACCATATATAATTGTCCAGCTTACCTCTACTTTTAAAGTGTCTGAAAGATACATATAAACCATAAATATAGGGAATATTTTTATTGTAAGATACATAAAAAAGCCCCTTAAAACTAACCTATAAACCTAAATGAGAACAAATGTACACTTACTTCATGGGTTTCAAAAAAAGGCAATTTTAAAGCAGCAGGTCAATCTTTTGGGTTTAATCTGCAGGTATCATTAACTTATCTCACTCATAAAAGCAAACAAATTAAAGTTGTCTGGTTTGGGGTCTCTGTAGTCTCTCAGTAGTGGTTCATGTCATGCATCTTTTAGATAACACCACTAAGAACACTTTTCAAAAGCCACACTCCACTTTCATCAACATTTCAGCATAACTGAATTCCTGGACTAATCTTCAGGAGCATTTCGCACAAGCAGCTCATGAGAAATGAGAATGTGCTGAGAATCCTCAAAATTCCTGAAGAACTCTTAAACTTCAAATTCCACTTCTTTTTACAGTAAAAATGATAACCTTACTCTGAGTGGCAAGAATTAGTATGGCTTCACCATGAAAAGCAGCATAAAGTTGTATAAATAGAAAAATGTGGTTAAATACAAATAAGCAAGTTAGCACAAAGTAAACCAGCACAGATGCACTGTAACTCTTTAGGTGCCTGCCCTTGTCATCTTATAAATGCAAAGTAAATTGATGCAGCTTACTCACTAACAGGGAAAGAAAAAAAGCTCCTTCACATTTACTTTAAGGTAAGAGAGTCCACAATGGCCCTTAACCACAGGGCTGTTGATAACTGAAGTCCACATCCTACCTTGCTTCCCACCAACTTCTCCATGAGCCTGTGAGTTATGGGCAAAGGGCCTGGCACACTGATCCCTGAATTGGTTAACATTCAAAAACATGTCTATTAAATTTTGCTCTTTGGTTTACACAATCTGGGCACTGAAGTCCATGGCACGTTGGAAGCCTCATCTGACAGATATGGGAAGAATGAAAAAGTCATTATTAGTTACAGGTATAAGGTGTTGAGGCTGTCTAGACACCAGTAAACCAAAAAGCTATTCATTTCTACTCCAACAGTTCAGAAAGTCTAAGATAGCAATAATTATTGATTTTAAAATATTTACTTTGGGAAACTAACAAAAAGTTGATCTGTGCAACAACAAACTAAAATTCAGAGATAGGATAAAAATCTGGATTTTCCTCAAAAATGAGCAAAGTATATTAATATATTTTAACATATTATAAAATATGTTCATATTCTGCCTTGAATTATAAACACATGTATAAGTGCACACAAATGATTACATGTAAAACAAGGTGAAATAATTATTTTTACCTCACACCTGCCAACTGGGAACTCGATGGTGTCGAATGATCCAGGTTTAAAAACAGTTGCAGTGAGCTTTCAGGAGGAGCCTAGTTCTCCTGAGAGAGGAGAGTTACTTTTTAAGGCTACTTCTTAAAAGTCTCAAAAAATACACAAGAGAACTAGAAACCCTATCCTGTCACACAATTTGTTACTTTGTCCCCCATGAGCAGGGATTGTAACACTCAAGAGTTCAGCTCTCTTCTACATCATGGAGGGAGACCAGGCTGTATTTTCTCACACTGATGAAGTTAAATGGCTTTCATAACTGAGGGAAGTTCTCATCTGCTAAAGATTCAAGACACTTATGTTACAACAGTGAGGAGGGCAAACCATTTCTCATAAACTGAAAGTGTGTGCACCAAGCTTGTTGTCAAAGCTATGCAGCCAAAATGAGAGAATTCAGAATCCCTTCCAGCTGGTTTTCATCCCTGTTCACAAAAATTTGTGTGTAAAGAAGAAATGAAGAGATTTTAACCTTTCAGTGTGTTAAGCCTCAGTGGGAAATGTGACAATTTCTCCACTTCACTGGAATAAAGATGCATGCCACCTATCCATCCAGTGCCATCTACCAACAGCACCGAGCTGGCCTCGAAATCCTCTCCTTGTCATCCCCGAGGGAGGTCAGCTTGCAGCCCCTTCCTGGGAAACGCCAGTCTGTAAATTCTAACGCTGCACTTTGACAGCCAAATCCCCTTTTAAGTCTCCACCCATGCAGTGGGAACCTGTGGCCATGCACCACCAGCTCTCCTCAGCCCAGAAATCATGCAGCCCAGGAGGAGAGCAGACTGCATGCCCACCTCCATCTCTGCCAGACACGCCTCACCCACTGCCAACCCTCCCCTGTCACCTTCCTTTCCCCTGCTCCCACGGATCATGCTGCGGTCAATGCAAGCCAAACTCAGCTCCTCTTTTTCGTACTGCTTCTCTTGCCCTGGGAAATTATTTTAATTCCTCCCTCTACCCACCTCTATTCTCTTATGTGGTGAGAAGCCAGGTCTGCCATGCCCACTGTTCTGCCTGGGAGGCTCTGCATCCCTTCCCTACCTCACACTCCCTTCCTAAACGACAGAAGGTGGCCGGGGATATTTTTGCCTTCCCTACCCTCATCCACCCAACCCTTTTCTCCCACTGCCACCTCCTCGGTGGGGGAGAGGGACATGCAGCCTTTTCCCCTGACTTCCCTAAGGAGACCAGCCCTCTTCCCTTCGCCCTGCCATCTTCTTACCTGTAAGAGGGCAGGACGTTCATGCTCTCCTCCACCCCGAGACCCCGGCAAGGCCCAATTCCTCCCCTCAAACTTCACCCCCACCCCCGGCCACCCCTGGGCGCCGTGGCGGGGCCGCGGGTGGCGGGGCCCGCATCCCCGGGCGCCCCCGCCGTCTCCATCCTGCCCGCTCCACCCGTGCCGCCCCCGGGAAAAGCCTCGCCTCGCCGCCGCCCCCCTTCCTCCTCCCACCTCCGCCGGCGAGGTGCGAGGGGCCGGCGCGGAGCCCCGCGCCCGGCGGTGTCGGGGAGGGGCGGAAGCGGGCGGGGGCGGCGGCGGGGAGAGCCCGGGTGCCGAGCAGGCCGCGTCGCGCCGACCCCGGCGGCGGCAGGGGCGGGCAGGGCCGGCGGGGCCGCCCGGTGTCTCCGGCACCTGGAGCGTGGCCTGCCCGTCCCTCCGCACGTACTCACCGCCCGGTTCGCCATTACGGAACCGCCGCCGCTGCCCGGCAGGAGGCGGCGATGCCCCACGCCTGTGACAGCTCCGCGCCGGGGCGGCCGCGGGCGGGCGCGACGGCTTCCCCTCCCCCCCGCGGGGATTCCCCCCGTGTCCCCCCCGCGGGAGCCGGCGGGCGAGGGCGGCACTCACCGTGCGGTGTCGCAGGCCGGCGGGCGGCGCGGGNNNGGCGCTCGGCGCTGTCCCCGCGCCTCTCCCCGCTCCTCCCCGCGGGCGCTGCGCGGGAGGGGCCCCGCGCGGGGGGGGAGCAGGGCGGGGGGCGAAGTTTCACTCGCTCCGCGCCGCGACCCCAGCGGCCCCAGCGAACCCGCGGGGACGGGCCGGGGGGCGCATTTGCATATTTGTCACCCCCGCGCTGATTGGCCGCCCGCGCGGGGGCCGCCGCCGCGCGCTGACACGGCGGCTCGGCTCGGGAGGGAGCGGCGTGAGGGGAGGAAGAGGCGGGCGGAGCGGGGACGGGGCGCGGGAAGGGGCGTGCGCGGGGCGGGGATGCGCGGGGGGCGGAGAGGGGACCCGGGAGCGTGCGAGTTTCCTTCCCGAGACACCTTCGCCCTCCCGCCGCAGCCCCCGCGGGAGGGGCAGCCCTGGCGGGGCGGGGGCGGGCGGCGCGGAGCCGATGGAGCGGGGCGTGCGGCGGGCTGGGCGCATCCAATATGGCCCCTGCGCCGGGAGAAACCAATCCCGGGCGCGGTTACTCCGGAGGCTCCGGCGGAGGCCGGGCCGGGATGCGGGGCAGGCCCCGGGCGGCGGCAGGGGGCGGGGGGAGCGGGGATTTTCCCTGGGAAAGGGAAACTTGGCGCTCTGGAGCGTTTTGGCGAGGCGCTCACGCAGCCGCTCTGGGCCTCCGTGGGAGCGCGCCCAGCAGCGGGAATGCCGCCTTCGCTCTGGGAGATCACGGGGCGCGCTTGACACCGGCACCGGGGATGGTGCTCGCTAGCCAAGGCTCTCTCTGCCTCCCTCTCCAGGCAGAGCCGGCAGCTCAGCCCGTCTGACCCAGCCGTGGCATCACCAGGTCTTCCACTGAAAGCCAGGGGCTTGCAGGGAGAGCGAGGGGAATTCCCGCCTGTTAAAGGCAAAGGCAGATGCCAGGCAGGACGAGTGTAGCAGCAGGTACACGTATCAAGCCGCTTCTGAATACATTTCTTGAACACGCTAACAGGGCACATACATTCTAACAAAGTTAACTATGAGCCTTTTCTTTTACATAATATTTTTTTCAAAATTATTGAAATGAAGTCCGTTAAACCACAAGTGTTGATTTGAAAATCAAAGTTTAGAAGTAACCATTGCCAAAGACACTTCAATGTTACCTGAAATAATTTTTTTTGAAGTGTCAAGCTACAAAGTTGTTGCAGGACTCATTTCCCTGTGGCAGGACAGCAGAGCAAAAAGCTTGAGGAGGGAGTTTCTAGCACAGCTGAAGGGAAAAACCTTTTTGGGTCTTGACTACAGCTTTATCTACTGTGGCAAATAAGTAGAGAAAAAAAAAGGGAAAAAAACCCACTTTAGGTGAACAGTTACATAACTCTTCTGAGTTGACCTAAAGACTAAATTAAGAATTCCAGGAATACAAGAAAATTCCCAGTCAGAATTACAGAATTACTTGGATATTGTGCCTGTGAGGACTACAGGCACAGGGGCAATCACAAATCTCACCCAAAGTCTTCCATTCCTTGGTAGCAGGGAATGAGGGATATATTTCTGATTCTCTCCAACCTGTTGCTTCTATGAGTAGGATATTATTTAAGGGAAATTTTGTCATTATATTAAGTATCAGATTTGTTGTGTATCTTATATGCTTAATTATATATTTAGAATTTGTAAATAGTTTCTCTACTGAGATTCTGTAGCTACAAGCATAAGGTAGGGTCTTACTCAGCATTAGTTTAGAAGACAAGCCTTTAAGCAAGCTACTTCAATGTTTTAGCTTTATGTTGTACCTTTATCTTTCTTCCTATCTCTCAATTCCTTAATCAGAAAAACTCCAATCTTCCTCTCAGACTATTCAGAAGACTATTGTTAATATTTACACTAAGCTTTCTGTGCTTTCTCTCTTCTTTTAGCCAGCTCTGTGGACTTTTTCTTTCTAATTTCCCTTTTTCTCACTAGCAATTGAAAAAAAAAACTTTAAAAAATAAATATAGCTGTTGTGTTTTTGTTTGTTTGTTTTTTTTTTAATCCTAATGGCTTCTAAATCAAAACTTTTATTTCTCTGCTCCTCTAGACCCCATAAAGAAATAAGCAAGTACTTAAAAAAAAAAAAGTTGGCCTTTACCCTTTACTTAGAATTAGGCAGCCAGTAGTAGTACTTCCTTAATAAAGCTATCAACACCAGTGTAACACTGGAGGGCTCTCAGCTCTGGATAGTGTGAATGGCAGTGTCATACGTTCAGAGCACAAGCTTGGTATCATAAATCACATGAATGACCAAAAATAGGATCATGTGACTGGTTATTCTGCTGCTCAAAAGGACGTTGAGACTCACGAGCACTAAATGTTTGGAGGTATCATTTTAGAATTTAGAAAACGAATAGGTTATATAAATATACAGAATTAAATGGTGATTTTTGTTTTAGGATTCATTTTCTTAAACATTTCTGTGTCTCATCAGTTTTGGAGATGGCTTTTAGACAGTGTTAATTTTTATTGCCATCAAACTTTCTGATATTTTACATCACCACCCTGAAATCCTACTGTTTTTTCAAGCAATCATAATTTGAACAGATTTTATACATTTTATGGTATCGTTATTTTCTGAGCAGCACTGCTTCACAAGGTAATTACATTGTCTTGATCACAGTGTATTGGTCACTCTTTTGAAATGTTTGGTTTGGTAAAAGCAAAAGAAAACTTTGTCCCTTTGTCTCTACATCGGAGACATTTCTTCAGATGTCTCATGTACCACAGATTTAGAACACATGCATTTTTTCATTTTCTTGGATCCCACAGAACTATAGTGTTTTATTCTGCCTTAGGATTTACCATGTGTGTCTTGTAACCATTGTAGTCTATAGAGGGAGAGGTCCTCTGTACTCAAAACAAGAACACTCATCCTTTATCCTTCTGTAAGCAAGGAATAAAATTTTGCAAGAAAAACTCTAACAGAGGAAATCAGTTGCTGTACTTTCCTGTACTTTGGTTATCCATGGAAGTTGCTGCAGAGGTGTTGAGGTTAGGGCTCAAATGACCCATTGAATCATTTAGGTAGGAAATGACCTCTAGGATCAGTCCAACCATTGCCCCAGCACTGCCAAACTCACCACCAGCTCATGTTCCTCAGTGCCACATCTGCATGCCTTAAATCTCTCCAGGAATGGTGACTCCACTTCCCTGGGCAGCCTGTTCCAATCCTTTGCAACACTCTTGGTTAACAAACTTTTCCTTATCTCCAATCTAAACCTTCTCCGGCACAATTTGAGGCCATTTCCTCTTGTGCTATCGCTTGTTATTGCGGAGAAGAAACCTTCCCCCCACCTGACTACAACCTTCAGGTAGCTGGAGAGAGCAATCAAGTTCTCATTTAACAGATTCCTCTGTTGCCACAGTGACTGCTTTGATCGTTCTGCAGTAGCCACCCTGTGGGACTTGGGAAAGCAGAGAGCAGCGAGTGCACAGATCGCTGTGCTGGAGCAGCTCTCCCTGTCCTGCTGATGTGCTCCAAAAGCCTGGTTGGGATCTGGGATGCAGCTGAAGACCTGCAGTGCCACACAGAACAAGCCCTTGCTGAGGTGTTCATCTGCTCTGTGTGTGCCTCTGCAGCCTGCAGCATGAGCAGGGAACACAACACTTTCTCCAGGTAGCTTCTGGAGTTGTTAACAACGCTAACTGAGGGGCTCTGCTCACATAATTTTGCCTGTGAATAAATTCAAAGTCACATGTTCCCATAAGGTTCAATTGGGGAGCTCTGCTTGTTTCGTTGTGCTGTCATGTGGCAGTTTGTGGGTTTGTGTGAGCTGGAATGAACACTGCAACTCCTGCAGGGAGCAGCTATGCTGTGCACCTGCACATCTGAAACACTGCAGATGCAAAGGAAGTACCCAGAAGCAGATGGTTTCTCTCATGTCCTAGCAGAGGCAGATGTAAACCAAGATAGCACTGTAAATCTTTTTAGATTAGGACAAAATTTAATTCATTCACAGTGCTTGAGAACAATTGCATCCAAGGATATATGGATCAGAAAGAGAAGCTGGAATTCTGTATATAAGCCTTTCATAATGTGATAAACAACTACAAATAAAGATCTGGTTGCTAATTAAATGTGCAAATAATCTGCTTTAGAAAATGGAAAGCAGCTAGAATATTCTACTTTTAATATATCCTAAAAGTTTACCTGGCAACTGGATACTACTGATGTAAATTGAGTAAAACTGCAGTTAAGGCATCAGAATGCTGATTTCTGAAACTATTTTCATTGCTATTTCCTCAAACACCTACATCTGTGTCTGCTTACCACAATGACAGCCACAAGTACATTGTTAATTGATGAAACCCTAATGATAGTACTGAAATCTGTCATGAAATAGGAGGCATGAAAGAAGAATATTTTAAAACTGAGCTTACTGAAAAGTTATTTTTCTACTGTACTATGTTTTTCATTAAGAAACTTATAAACCATATTTTAAGGTAACTCCTGGCAGTGCCCAATTTTAGCATGGCCAGGAGTGCTAAAACTTTTAGCAAAGGTTTTCTGCATTGTCTTTAGAAAGAGCAGAAGTTTGTATCTTGATAGGCTGAGATCAGTTTGTGAATCTAGGCAAGCTGAGATTTGTGAGCTGAGGTTTGAAGTGTAGTCTGTAAAGATCACTTTCAAAGAAGAAGGGACCTTCTCTAGACTCTTGTGTTAGGAAAAAAATAGCCAGTTAAGCTCAGCTAAAGGTTTTGATGACCACATGGATCTCACATCACCAGATTCTCTCTTGTCTCCATAAGGCAGCACTGAGGCCTCGTTGCAGTTTTCTGTAGAGTGGTTTTAGTAGGGGGAAGTTTTCAAGAGAGAAAGACATCAATTATAGCTGTATAAATGTGAGGTTTTGCTGTTTTGCTCTTTCCACAGTCTGTGAAAGGAAAGATGTGTGCTGATGGGTGCAGGTATGGGTGTTCATGTCTGTTCACTAAGTCTCCGCTGACTTCAAGCAGCAGATTCATTGCCGAGCCCAGTTAGCCTGGCTCCTGAAACAGACAGTCTGGGTCTGCAGAAGCCTCAGTTTCTGAACTTTAAGGTAAAATGACAGGTTTGAGGGGTGAACATGGGGTAGGTGGTTCAGGAAGGCTGTTCAGCTTCCAAGTTCCTCAGCCAATGGGAAAAGGAAGAGAGCACCCTGCAGCCAGGAGTTTAGGGTAAGAGCAGTGTGCGCCCTCTGAAACCTCGAGAGAGAAAACTGTGCAGGCATGGGCCCCAGTGGACTCTATCCCTTTATTGGAATAAAGATACAGGACTCCTCTGTCTCCTTTGTGGACACTGGCTTGTCGTAGTGTGGTTTTCCATACAAAAGCCTCTAGTAAAAGTTTGGTAAAGGGTGAGAAAATATTGATGTATTACCCAATTCTGAATACTATACCACACAACACTTCAGAATAGTTGAAAAGTGTAGGCACACAGTTTGTGGTGACTGGGAGTGGGGCTGGCCCAGCCCCATCCCCAGTGGGTGCAGCTGTGAGCAGCAGGTGAGCAGCACTGGCAGCAATGAGCCATGGAGTGCCCAGGGGCACTGACCAACCACCAAAGGGAGCAGAGGCACACAGGGGCAGGGCATGAACATGAGGGGATAAAAGGTTGGGCTAAAGACCAGGCAGGGCAGATGTTTGCAGCCTTCTGAAGCGCTGGGGCGTTACTCTGTACGGGTTGAAGCTTTCTGGAGCTGTATGCTGGTATTCTGTGTATCATGACTGTCTCAACTGTGATGTATGCTGTAACAAAAAAGAGGTTTAGAAACTCTTCAGGTAGTGTGAATGTACAAAATAGAAGTAAGTTGTTAATTTGTCAGTTGCTTATTCTTGTACTGTAATAGGGAGGGAATCCTCCTAAAGGAAAAATGAGTTAGGTAGTTGAGAGTAATTTTAAACCATAAACAATAGACTTTGAGGGCTTGTCCCTGTAGCTCTACTAAACTTTTTGATGTCGTAGATTGGGTACTGCTTTCAGTCAGTTCATAGCTAGCTGTAAAACTAGGCAACATTGGAATCCCTTAAACTTGAGGGAAAACATAAAACCTCCCCTTGGTTATTAGAGTTCATTTAAGCACCTGTGAAAACTGAGCTGGAAATACTGTCTTATGTAAAGTGGGCATCCATATATCAGCTGTAAGCAGCATATTAAATAAATCCCTAAAATGCTACGTTTTAATTCAGTACTGGAGTGTGACAGGGAGGCCGAGCATGGCCGAGCAAGGGTCTGTGCCCGGTGCGCCCAACCCGCTCGTTGTTCCTCCGTGCAGAAAGGTCCTGCTGCCCTCCTGTGGTCCTTCCCATTGACGCGGGTTTGTTCTGAAACTACTGGAATATTCATTTTCTTTTAAAGCTGAATTTTTAGCTGCCTGTAACATGAAAGATGCTTTTATCTGTATGAAAGAGCTAGTTCTAGGATATGGAATGTTCTTCTGTGGTAAAGTTACCTTTGTGGATGGCAGGACAGCAGTAGATGTCACTTATCCCAGCTTTTGT